AAAGAATTGACTTAAATCTTGAGGAGAATGCAAAGATAGGAGATAAAGCGATAAAAAACGAGATAAAGAGAATTTCATGTAAAATATTAAACTTTATGATAAATATTTAAATTTTAATGGTAAAATAAATAAATTAACAGTGAAACCGTTTATGCTTAATAATAAATTTATTTGTTGTAAATATATTAGCTAATTAAGATTAAAGATTTGTAATTACCTAAAAAAAGTGAGCTACTACTAAAAGGAAGAAAAAGAAAAAATATCATCGAACTTGTAAGATGTCTTGTACTACCTTGGTTAATTGTTTGTAAAATATATAATAAACAAAAAAAAAAGTGTCAGGTAACATATACTAAAATTAAAATGTTTTTTATTAATTTAATGAGATTTATAATTTTTAAGAATGAAAATTTTAAATTCATGTTATAAATTTTAAGATTATTTTCACTTTAAATAAATCTTTTCATAAATTAACTTGTAGAAAAGGGACCATAATTACAATTTAGCATAATAAATTCTGAGAAGGAAATGCTTCAAAACAGAATGACAAGAATAAGGAAGTATAACTATAAGTAGCAATACTAAATTTTTCAACTTCTCTGTAATACTAAATTTATTCAAATGGGTAAGCAGAGGAAAGAAAGAAAGATATTCACTTACTTAGGTCCATGAATCAGAATTGCAAGATCCTTAGTCATCTTTCCCGACTCCACAGTCTCAACACATGCAGCCTCCAATTTTTGAGTAAAATCCAGTAATTTTTCATTATTATCCAACTTGGCTCTAGTAAATAATAACAATCATGTTAGTAGCAGACTCAAAAAAAAGGGCGGGGGCAACATAAGTGGAAAAGACGCACACAGGTTAGTTCAGGAAAAATAGTTGAGAAACCTGAACCCATCTAGTAGAATGGTGCCTCCCTAATTGAAATAGAAAAAAAAAATGTTTTTGAGACTTGTGTAAATTGGTTCATTTGATAGGAAATAAGGAGAGATAGAGAGATGAATAGAAATAGATGAGAAATAATAAAGTGGGTCTCACTATTTTAATTTTTTTTATATTCTCCCTCAAACAAAACATACAAAACTAATTCTTTCCTCCCCCTCCTCTCTATAAAGAAACCATAATGGATGGCTTCCTTCCCATCTCCTAGACAAATTGCTCTGTTTTCACTAATTCTCATCCAGACATTCTAGAATCAGCATAAAAGTATCAGTTCTTCCAGCCTTTCACTCTCTCACTTATAAGAACACTCAATACTCCTCGTCTATAAAAATTCTCAAGTTTTAGTCACTATTGAAATAGAATCCAAGTTAGCGTAGACACAATGCCACAATTGAGATGATGACTTACACATAGAAATATGATTAACCAGAAAAGCTTCCAAAGCAGAGTTATCAGGGTAAGAATTTGGCATAAGGCCAAAATTCCACTGTATATTATGATGCACTAGAATTTGAAGCTTGAATCAAGCAACAAAGTACCTGTGTTCCAGTCCTCGTGTCCAGGCATATATGGAAGCAATACTGTTTGTACTAGTTTCTTGTCCCTTTTGATGAAGCCGGAAATGTCGAGTTACAGTTCCATGAGCTGCCTCAGCTTCTAACGTCTTGCCATCAGAAGATAACTGCAATTTTTTTGTTTAAAACCTAAGTATGATATCAAATAACCAAATAGAGATAGCAACGCAAATGGAAAAAAAAAATGCTGAAATAGCAAGATTCTAATACACACCAGTACAGAAGTCATGAGACCCAATGAGCCAAATCCTGCACACAAGAATTTAAGAAACTTGATTTAAAAGATACCTCCTAGTACGTCAAAATATTCACGTGAATTACATTCCTAAATCTTCAAATGCTCCCTTTGGCATTCCATAAAGACATGAATAAAAAATTAAATTAGCAACCAAATCAGAACATATACATATTCAAGGATCAGGTAAATACTTACTTTTGGGTTAAGGCCATTTTCTAGTGCACAATTTATTAAGGTATAGCTAATCAGTAATAACCAAAACTTTAATAATTATGCCTTTAGAAAAGTTAGTCTACTTAATAATATTAGCTAGCATTGTCATCAAATCCTCCCATTTAGGGTCCTCGTCTCCTTGATAAAAAACAGAGCTCCCATGGCTTGGCTGACCCAAATTCCAAATACCCAATGTTACACTAGTGGAGCCAAGTGGCCAGGACTACCGGACAAGGATATAATACTTTTTAGTATTGGTGAAACTTAAACAGTTAGGGATAATCAGAAATGTCAGGAAGGGCTACCAAATCAATCAATGACTGCTTGTTGACAATGACATCATACACACTTAACAAGTTGCCACTTCAGAGATAAATGTTAAGCTCTCCACAACCTATATTACCTTGAGCTAGTAAATCACTTTGGACATCACCATCATAATTCTTGCAAGCCCAAACATATCCACCTTCACTCTTGACTGCATATGCTACCATGTCATCAATTAGCCTATGCTCATACCTGAAGTCACTTAAAAGTGTCAACCATTTATATGTATATGTAATGCATCAAAGCAAATAGTTTTGTAAAATATCAAAACAAACCATATTGAGTGCTCTTCAAACTTTATCTTCCACCTTTCTTCATACACTTCCTGGAATATATCCTTAAACCTGTAATAATTTCAAACTATAAATCACCTCCAATAATAACAAGCAAAAAGAAAGGTTGACTGAATTACAAAGAAGTTTATCATACCAGAGGTGAAACTTCAAGACTAGAAAAAAAAATAAAGATAAAATGATAGTAAAAGATGAGTTTTACCAAATATCACTCTTAAACCTAAATCTAAACCATTGGTTTGCAAGAATCCAGAGGGTAGAAATAGTCTCAAAAGTCCTAAGAAATCTGAGAGTCCTGGTTCCCCCTCCCAATACTGACTCGAACTCTTTAACCACCCCGCTATTGTCTCCCTTCCATTCTTAATGTTGTCCAATGTCTATAACCAACTGTTGGTACAGTTGTCAACAGAACTGTAAAAGTCCGTTCAAATTTCTAACTGACAACTGATACTTGGGATAAGCACCTAAATATATATATATATATATATATATATATATAGACACACACACACATTTATAAACCCAGTGATATAATATTATAATAATCACCTGCCATCATATTTCTTTAGAATTGTGTTTTTGGTGCTCAAGTAAAGAGGCCATTTCTTTGCAAAAGCCAGTGCCATTGATGATTCAGCAAATGCTCGAATGGACTGCATATTAGGCAAGCCAATGTTGAAATACAACCAAATAACAGGAAACTTCTTTAAAACATGTTACTGAATACACATGGAAAATATAACATGAAGCAAACCTCATCAACATTATACATAGCAAGTGCTACTCCAGGTCCTTTGAAATTGTAAACTTCAAGCTCCGTTGTAGCATTACCATTTTCTGGGACTAAATAATTTATTTAACACAAGCTTGTAAACTACATGTGACACATTCTAAATAATAACACAAAATTTCAACTCCATTAAATGCAAGGCTTTGAAAATTATCGTACCAAATACCAATTTGAGCTTCCCTGGTCCTCCAATTATTGCATCAGTGGCACGATACTGGTCACCAAAAGCATGCCTACCAATACATATGGGTTTTTTCCATCCTGTAAACTGAAGAATAAGTTCTAAATGGGGCTTTGCAGTATTTCAACACTATTAAGGATCACACCAGTGTTAAGACATTACCAGGAATGATTCTCGGTATGTTGCGGCATATTATTGGTTCACGGAAAACAGTGCCTAGAAAGAAAGGAAAAATATCACAAAGAAAAGGTTGAAAACGTTTTAGAATAGAAGTAGGTAATATAGTCAACAAAGACCAAGGTTAATTAACTTGGGTTGAGAACATTTGTTGTGAAGTTATTTCAAATACAATACAATTTGATTGCTAGGATTCATATAATGTCATACAGGATGCAGGTAAAACTAATTGCAAGATATTTAGACTTTTAAGTGTAAACACAACTCAAGAACCTGACCCTGATCTATAAGAATTTCCCTCTCTTGGCAATTAAAAAATGACAATGTGAACCTATAATATTGATTTTAGTAAGTGCACAACCAATAGCAAAAATATTTATAGTGAGTGAATTGATATATAGAGAAAAAGAAAAAAAAAATCGTTTAGAGCATCATATTATCAAATAATATAGGAATATCACCATATGTCAAGCTTTTTTCACAAGGGGGAATTCATGACAAATTTCAGTTTTTCCAACAAGAAAAGCACCAAAACTATTACAATCAGAGATAATAAATGAACTGCAAAATATAGATGCGCTTTGAGATGATAGACTCGAAAAAACACAAGCTAAATTATATTAGCTAAATACTATTATGTTAAAACAAGGATATAACTGGAATTATGTCAAAAGAAAAAACAAACTTATTTATCAAAATTAATGAATAATTATGTCAATATATACAATGCTATGAAAAATTTAACACTTACTGGTACATGTCCACCAAAACAAGCAATCAAATATCGAAATTCTGTAAGTACAATAGTTTTCACACAAAAACCAATACTTTCATGGGCAAACTAAGATCCTAAATATATGGCCATCTAAGTTCCATTCACCAAAGAAGGAAACATGTGGGGAAAAGACCATCCTTGTAGAAAAGTCAATGGGTACAACATTGAATTTGATGCCTTACTTAACACGATGAGCTGATTACAAACCATTTAAAATATTCCTGATTGTGCCATTGGGGCTTCTCCACATAGACTTCAGTCCAAATTCTTTGACTCGGGCCTCATCTGAGAATTTGGAAGAGTTAAGATAGTATCATTTTTACACAAAAACTATAAATGAATAAAGATTATGCGCTAGTATCCGCTTGCATTCACTAAGTAAAATGAATAAACCAGTGCATTAAATCTAGCACAAATTGCGAGTGTGGAACAAAGAAGTCTGATGATCCATGAATCATGACATAGAATAATTGATCAATTTAGAGATAAAAACAACTAACCAGGAGTTATTGTTGCACATTTCACAGCAACGTTGTACCTGCAGAAAAAATCAGCTTCAATTAAGGAATAGAAATGGGGTTCAAATATTAGTTTATAAAGGATGGTTTCATTAGAAGACAAAGAATGATAGTTAAAAAACAGCATAAGGAAGCCAATAAAGATGGATGAAAAATACATCGGGTGGAAACAAAGTATGAAAGCAAGAAAGGCAGTGAAATCCTATACAAGTCTGTAACTAATGGCAGGCCCCCCAAAACAGATACTGGCAGAACACCACCAAGAGGCCAAAAATGTAACCCTACACTGATGATGTAAGTGTATTAAGGGTAGTAAAACCCTCTTAAATATGCAACTACTCCACTCCTACCAAACGTACCAAAAGATTGCATGAACAGAACAATGTCATTGCCACAAAATATTTGCCTCCTTTCTTGTAAGTGGTAAAATAAAATTTTTATGCCTCACCAATAAAAAACTGTTGAAGGAGGAAGGTAAACCAGGGACCCTAAACAAATTATCTCACATACTCAGACTTTGAGTATCCTGATGGAAAACCAAATGTCACAAACACAAACAGCTTCCCCCTATCAAGTATCCCAGGCTCCCAGCAAATGTTTTTTATGCTAAAAGTATTTCTTTTTTCTGAAACTAAGGATCCTTTCAGAGTGGTTGCAAGATTTTTAAAACATTGAAACTTACAACTACATACCATCCCAAACAGGGCCTAAACAAGTAATGTTGGCTTTCAAATTCTCACCACATCCAGAAATATGCTAGTCTAAACTCTAACTCTCTTTACACCTCCATTTTAGTCATACATCCACTCAGCAACAAGAATCAAGTATAAACCATTAAAGTGAAAAATGCATGTTTTATGTCACGTATGTTGATAAAAAAATACTCACTTGAGAGTGGCTTCAGCACTTTCCACCGTAACTTTGTCATCAGTAGCATCACGATTATGAAGTCCAAGATCAAAATACTTTATGTTCAAATCCAGGTAAGGAAATATAAGCTGCAGTGCACAAAACCACTATGTTAAAAGAAAATCCAAAACCACCTGACCCTATAGGACTTGGTCTGAGAAGGATGTGAAGATGTCCCTTTCATAGATTCAGGATAGACTCTAATACTATTTTTGATAATTTGAGTTTCAGTCTAACCTAAGTCCAGAAACTGAATAGTGAGGTAAGAGTTGTCCTGACTTGCATACTCTTTATATTTAGTCAACTTCTGACTTAAGTTTTTCCTAATACTAATTAATGGATAAAGCCTCTATCCAATTCCGAAAGAGCTTTAAACGTTATTTTTGGCCAAAGTTAATGTCATAAGGATAATCTACGCTAACTTTTTATTCAACCCTCCATAGAGCAGAACGTCAATTTGAAATTCCAATTTTTTTCGAAGAACAGTATTAAAAGCACTTAGGAAATTGCATCTTCATGCATCTTGTTTGTCCTTCCTCTAAAATAAATAATAAACACACAAACACTAAAAGAGTGGAGGCATGCGTACTTTATCCTTGATCATGCTCCATATAATCCTGGTCATTTCATCACCTAAGGAACACAGAAAGCCAATGAAACCGCGACGAAACAGAAGAATGCAAAGCTAGAGCTGGTTCGGTTAGAGTACGAATAAGTTACCGTCCATTTCGACGATGGGATTGAGAACGGGAAGTCGGTCGAAGGCGGCGCGTGCAGCGAAGCATCGGAGCGAGAGGCGATTGGAGAAGGAGAGGGTGTGGGAGGGAAGAAGGCGAGAGCGAAAGAGCGTTGTGGAAGTTGAAGAAATGAGGAAGTTAGGGTTTCTGAGAGAGATTGAAGAAGGCATGGTGATGATAGCGCTTAACCGAAGCGCTGCCGCTCTAAGCATCCGTTTCTGAAGTTCTGACTCACTGAGTCTCTTGGAGCTTACTGTGATTACAGCTTGATGGACAAAACCGCTTTACCTCAACGTTTTCCCCAAGGTGCCGCTGCTTTACGTGGCTTTTCTTCTCTTGAAATAAATTTGTTTTTACAAAACAGTTTAGGGTTAAATACCTTTTTAATCTTTAAATGTAAGTTTTTTTCCTTCTTATTTTTCTTTTAATTTTTAAAAATAATAAATGTAATTTATTTGGTAAAAAATTGAGTGTTTTAAATCCAACACAAAAGATATATAACGTTTTTTACTCAAAATAAATAACACTAAAGCAGAAATAGTTTTGTCCTAGAGGGAGTTGTCATTTTGTTTTTAAGCAAAATAATTACAATTTTTTTATTATTTAAAATATTAGAGAATATTCTGGTTATAAATAATAATAATAATAAAATATAAGTATAGTAATTAAATATAAACTTTTTATATTTTTCTAAAAGATCTTACCATATATTTTGGTTAAATTAAAACTTAGTTAGGTCACCACTTCGTTGATCCATAGATTGATTTTTAAATGTTTTATTCATTTTCAAGTGTATACAATCTTCGGCATTGAGCTAAAGTGTTTGAGGTGTGAAGGTTGAAAAACTTCCTTAAGTTTAATTTTTAATACTTAATTGTTTTGTTTTAATTAATTCTTTTCTCTTACAATTTTTAATTTTGGTGTTGTCTCTTTGCACGCTTTAATTTTCATTTTTCTCATTACTTGTTCATATATCGTCTTTAGGTAAGTTTTCCTCTTTATATTAAATATGGCGTTTGTTTATAGCTTTTTCATAATATATAGCTTGATTTACTATATCGGTAAAATAAATAACTTTTTTTATTTTGTTATAGCTAACCAATAAACAACCTTTAGTCGTGTTGGGTTTGATTTAAACTGACTTGCTTGGTCAACCCTCAACTAAGTTAAGTTAAGTTAGTCGCTTTGAATGGTCGTTGTCAAATTATTAATTCTGAAGAGTTTTTAAAGACAAAAAAACAATACAAATTCATAAAAATGGCAAGTTTATAACTCATAATTTTACTCTTATGTTAAATTAATGAACTTAATGAACCATCGGTGAATGACTAGGTGCGAAAACTTACTTATCATGTGTTTGTGATGTTTTAATGAAAAAAAATGTTAAAATCAAATCTAAGACTTGTATTCAAATAACAACTCTGAGTCAATATATGAGTGCTTTGACTCCCAACACTTTTCATCAAGGTTCACAACGACAATAAGAATAATTGAATATAGATTCACAAGATTCTTAAAAAAGATCATGCCCTCTTATCATCCGAGCATTTTATTTTTTCAAAGAGAAAAAGAAAAAGTAATTGTACCTTGTTTGCGAGTAGAGGGAGTTTATAGAACTCTCCTCAAATCATTTGAGTGTCAATCTACCGATTTTTATTTAATCTGGTTACGTCCTAGTTCCAATCGAGTTGGAATGTCAAATTTATACGTTTTGTGTTTAGTCAAACTAAAGCATGCTCGTAGTTGAACTAGATTGTCAAATTTTTTCTTTTGTTAGTTAGGCTACAACATGCTCCCATTAAAGTTAAAATGTTGAATCTTAGTCAGGCTACAACCTCCTCCCAAATGAGTTAGAATGTTAATTTTGTTTTGATTTTTGTTTCATTGGGTTATAACCTACTCTGAATAGAGTTTGAATGTTGAATTTATTCGTTTTTTGTTTAGTCAGATTACAATATACCCCTAATCGAGCTAGAATATCGTTTTAAATGGATGTCTCTGCCCTTCAAGTCGAACTTGGAGTTAGTTGCCTTAAGCTAGGTTTTCTCGTTCCCGAATCAAACTTAGGGTTAATCAATTTAAACCTTACGAATAAACTTTGAATATTACTACAAAATCTAAGTTAGTGATCCATGATACCTGTACATATGTAAATCAAACATGTCCAACTTGAATAATTGTTGTCAAGATAACATAAAATATTTTATAATAAAATATTTCATAATATGTTTATAAAATTATATGTTCAGCCTAAAAATCACATAATATTTATAAAACAAACAATTTCAAAAGTAATAATTAAAAATATTTAGTTTTAAGATAACAACTAACACTATTTTAAAACCAAAAATTTTAAAGATATCAACTACAAACATTTAATAAAAAACTTACTTTTTCATATATATATATATATATATATATATATATATTTAAATATTATTTTATATGTTAAAATAATCTAATTTTTACTATTAAAATAGTTATATTGAGATTTTGAAACAACCTAACGTCTTAGTTTAAAAAAAAATCATGACAGTGATCCAATTTAATCAATTTTTATTTTGATAGGATAACATGACGATATTTGTGGTAAATAAAAAAAAAAATATGGTATAAAGGTTAGTTGAATTAAACTATGTTAAATTTGTACAAAAAGTCCATTGTTGCTACCCACTTATTTGTTCGCTATTCTCTACTTATGTTTTTGTCCTGATTTTTTTATTGATATTTTGCACAAATAATCACGCAATTCAACCAACTTGAATTATGGTATAGTAATTATAATAATGTTTATGGTATAGGAATAACATATTATTGGTTGTTGTATAAAGTTTGATTTGATTAAATTGTGTTAAATTTGTACAAAATATTTTACGTTACTACCCAGTTATTTGTTCATTATTCCTCGCTTATGTTTCATGTATGGTTTACCCATTGTTCTTATACTCAATGACAACCAACACATTGCAACATTTACTGAATCCCCACCATAGATAAAAATGTTTGTTAACTCATCCACTCACACAATCAATTTTCATCACACATGTTATGGTCGAGCTCCTTTAGCTGACTTGTCAGGCTGCTTTAGCTGAGCTTAACCAAATTGTTGTGTTTTTTTTTGTGGAGGACATACAGCGAGCTCAAGTGGAGTAGTGTAATAGTGCTATATAAAAATGTCAAATGTCGAAACAAGGAAATGAATAAAATGGTAACTGAGAGAGGTAGGCCACCACAATTATGGGCTAAAATGAGAAGATCAACCAGACTTTACGGAGCTTGACAAAAATTATGTTAAGCTAGATTAACCTTTATGGAGCTCGACATGAACAACGTTAAACTCAAGAAGACTAGCTTGATCATGTTGTAGAGTCAAGACATTATCATACCAACAATAAGCTTTTTCAAGTATGAAATCATGCCATTTGACATTCTTCATTTTTTCATGTGTGCTCTTGAGCATTCATATGACCTTTTAATCTCTTAACACATGGCCCTTTTCCTCTATCAACTCTTTATGCTTGTCATAAGCAGTTGCAGAGTAAGATTGAAGGCGCAGTTCGATGAGAGGCTGGCAACGAAAAACAAATGTAAAGAGCGCTCACAATGGTGCGAAGGAGTCTGTCGTTAGATCTCCATCCTAACACGATTGGATAAGTCATTATTGACGATGTTGGTATCAGAAGACGACAGAGACTCTAACAAATGGTGTCTAGGCGATGACTAATATGTGACAAAGGAGGTTAGGATTAAATCCCATTTTTAGTCTCTACGCTCTTGCATGTATGGAAGTAGAAGAAAATAATGAGATGAAGAAGAATAAAAAATATTGGAAAAACAATATGTATAATGATGATGAAGTTTATAAATATGAGTGAATGACCATAGAAGAAAATAATGGATGAAGATTGAATAGTATATATGGTGTTCATTTGATTTGGTGAGAAATAAGGAGAGGTAAGAAGAGGTAACGAGAAAAAGAAAAAAAAGAAAAAATAGAAGCAAAGACATCAAAATAATAATAAAAGACGCGCTCAAATAGAATTGAAAGAGTAGGAGAAAAGAGAAAAAGTCAAAATAAAGCTGAACAAATCTTCGCGCTTCAATTATCTTGTTTTTCATTTCTCCATTTTCAACAAATTTAGAAAAATTAAAAAACAATGTAGAAAAGTACATGATCAACTTTGTGTAAAAAAAAATGTTAATATATAATTTCCTATAATAAAAACCCTAAACCCAACATAGCTCTATGTTAAGGGAACAAATGATAAAATTCCTAAGCCCTGCGTAGCTTTCTGTTAAACCCTACATAACTCTTAGTTAAGCGAGTTGGTGTTGTGCCCTGCGTTTCATTTTTCCCTTCACCATTCCAAATGAGGAGAGCGAACCCACTCCTCCGCAGACTACCACCGCACTTTCTCACATGGCGCACCTTCCGTTTTCACACCATTTTCTCCGGCCGCCGAGGCTTCGCCGGCACCACCAACACAAAACACCTCGACATCTTCACGGAGCAATTTGAGATCGGCTCGCGCGTGATCACGCTCGAGACAGGAAAGTTCGCCCGCTTCGCAAACGGCGCCGTCGTTTTGACAATGGAAAATACTAACGTTCTCTCCACCGTCGTCTCCGCTAAAGGTGATGCTGTTCGCGATTTCTTACCTCTCACTGTAAGTGTCTCTGCTACTCTCTCTTGCTCAAGTAGTATTCCGTTAAATGTCTCGATGAAACATGATGAAAACCTCGCTCGTGATAACAGGTGGATTATCAAGAGAAGCAGTTCGCGCAAGGCGTGATTCCGACCTCGTTCACGCGGAGGGAAGGTCCTCCTAAAGAGCGCGAGCTCTTATGTGGGCGAATCATTGACCGGCCAATTCGACCGTTGTTTCCTCCTGGATTTTACCACGAGGTTCAGGTGCGTCATGTTACTATCATTTTATCGTACTTGCTCTTTTGTGTGTTTCATTGTTATGCATGTACAATGTGAATAATTTTTAACGTATGCTAATTAGAAATAACGACTAAGTATAACTTTTAAGGCAGGTTTTGCAACATCAACTACTTAAAAATCGTTGTAAAACACCATTCTTGTTAGTATTCAATGTTGTCACTTTAGTCATTGAAACTAAAATTAGTCCACATTATGTGAAACAGGTCTCCAAACAAACCAACAAGTTACCTTTTCTAATGGGACTGGATTCTGATTCCTTAACTAAGACTAAGATTTTAGGTTGAAGTCTTGTAAATGGAACTATGTGGTTGGGAGGAGGCTGTCGGTCATATTCCCAAGAAGAGGTAAAGAGTGGATACTCAGTATTAATAAAATAGTTACTCGAAGATAAGTTCCTAACCTAAACCACTCTTTGTTACTTTGATCTTTAAACATTTGCTAATATAGGGTCTATTTGGAAAAAATTTCTCTCTAACCACTTGTAGAAGAAAATAAGAGGGAAAGATGAAATAAAGTTCACTACAAGCTAATGTTATGCATGCGTTGAAAACAACCATTTAGAGAAGCTCATTTGTAATAAAGTTACATATTAACTGATGTATATGTTACTTTCAATTAATGGAGAAGTTTTTTTCATTTTTTCTTCGTATTCTTATCTCTCAACAATGGTTATGAAGACATTTAGTCATAATCGCTAAAGTGGTACGACTTCTTGAATTTTAGACTAAAGTGATTGATATATTGCATTTTTAGATACTTTGTTTTTTTTTTAAATTTCTTCAGTGATTAAAAGTGATATTGTTATACACTTTCATTGTGAAAGTTGTAACACGGTGAACCAATCAGAATCAGTAGTAGTTAATATGAAAAACAGCTAATTTACCATACATGACAATGTGTAACTGCGTGTTTGTGGAAAAGACATTTACTATCAAACCGTGTTTCTAATTAAATTGTTTACTATTTTTGTTTAATTTTTATTTGTGATGGGTTTTTTCTAATAAAAAAGAAATATTTCACTTACTAGGTAACGGCAAGTGTTCTTTCTTCGGATGGAGAACATGATCCAGATGTGTTGGCAGCTAATGCAACATCAGCTGCTTTAATGTTATCAGATATTCCTTGGGGCGGTCCCATTGGAATGGTTCGAATTGGTAGGATATGTGGGAAGTTTATAGTAAATCCTACCACGAATGAGGTAATTTAGAGCAAATTATGTTGTTTAAAGTGATTATGCAATATTTTTTTTATTGATGGAACTTTGTTTTGTAGCTTAGTTAGATTTTGACTTTGTTAATGCCTTTTTGAATGGTTTGACTCTGTTCATCTCTGTTAACCCATTCTTTTCTGTTCTCATTGCCTTCTAATTATGATGTTGCAGCTTAAATTGAGTGATCTTAACTTGGTGTATGCCGGTACAATGGACAAAACTTTGATGATTGATGTGCAAGCTTGTGAGATATCTGAGAAAGACCTAGAAGCTGGGTTAAGGATGGCTCATCTAGAGGTGATTTTGAAATTTGTTACTTGGTTTATTCTTTTGTTAAATGAATGTTATTGAGATGGGTTGCTGTAATTCATCAGGCAATTAAGTATATTGAACCTCAAATCAGACTTGCTGCTAAAGCTGGTAAATCTAAGAAGGAGTACAAATTGTCTATGCTGTCCGACAAAACAATGGACAAAGTTAGTAATATAGCAGAGGAACCTATCAAAGCTGTTTTTACTGATCCTACCTATGGGAAGGTATTGTATTCTTTCTCTTGTTTTCTTGTTTAATATGTTTTGTGAAAGTTCCTACTATGGGAAGGTGTTCTATTCTTTTTCTCTTGTTTAATAAGTTTTGTGAAAGTTAGATGTTTTTTCTTCATTTTACATTTGGATTATCTGTTATGGATTTTCATCCAGTTTGAACGTGGGGAAGCATTGGACAATATTACCCAAGATGTAAAGAGAGTGCTTGTAGAAGAAGGTGATGAAGAAAGCTTAAAAGTCTTATCAAAGGCTGTAGATACCGTAAGGAAGAAGGTATGGAGCATTGCGATAAGTTTACAATTTTAGAGACTAATATGCCTATTACCTTTTTCATTTTAAGATTACAAGTAGGGAACAAATATCAAAGGAAACTCACTAGGGCTATTGTTTGAGTAAATAGAAAGTAATAAAGAATTATCTTATTGGTTTGATTCATCATCTTCTAAAGTTTCCAACGAAATAGGGAGATGTTTTAGTCATAAAATATTTAGTTCTAAACTTGAAAATGAATGTAGGGGTATTTTATTTGCACTCAGTAAAGTATTCATCATTTTAGGTGGTTCGTAAAAGAATTATTGCAGAAGGAAACAGAGTTGATGGAAGACAACTAGATGAAGTAAGGCCTTTGTATTGTGAAGCTGGATGTATACCCTTGTTGCATGGATCTGCGTTATTTTCCCGTGGAGAAACACAGGTAAAATATATTTTATGTTTTTTGTTATTGGTGGTTGAAAGTTAGGCATATGTGAAGATGAGAAATAGTATATTTTTTTAGTTCGAGTTCTATCTGCTGTGGTGTAAGTTGATGTCATTGACAGGTTCTTTGTACAGTAACACTTGGAGCACCTACAGATGCTCAACGCTTGGAGTCTGTTGTCGGTCCTCCGTCAAAGAGATTTATGCTTCACTATAGTTTTCCACCATTCTGCATAAATGAAGTTGGTAAACATGGTGGTATAAACCGGCGTGAAGTTGGTCATGGTAAATGAGTAACGTATAAATATTATCCAAAGTTTCTTGTGGTCTCCCATATTTGAAAAATAGCTAAAATCTCTGTACAACGTTTCCCTTCAAAATGTCAATACATAATTGAGTAGGACTTGTTTTTGTTTTTTGAAAGAAAAATGCTGTTTTAATTTAACACTACTTTGAAATTTAAACAATGGGAAAGGTTTATTGAAAGAAAAAAAATAAGTGTCTTTCTCAGAAGTTCTATACTCCCTTCACTATTATCTGCCACTTTGGAAGATAGTGTACAAATTTAGGAATGGTCTCCGCCACTATATCCCCCTAATTTAGTTTAGTGTGCATAATGTTTAAGAATTAGACAGTTGGAAAGATAATGGTTAATATTGTCTTTAACTTAAATATATACTGTTTTATCTTTATTTTAAGACATTATTATTGGAATATTTTATCTATCTGGGCATTTAATTAGGTATCCTATCTTGGGATATTGGTGGTAAAGCTTTTTCTATTGCTATTTGAGGGTGAACAAGAGAGATCCATGACTGCTGGATCTTTTCTGCCTATCTGTTTTTTCTGCCTTTGTGATGATGGATATTCAATTTTTTTTGGTGGAATGAATGGCAAAGTAAACTGATGAGAGGTAATTGGCGGTGGAGAGAGTTACTTAATGTAAACACGATCATGTGCGGTATAGAAAATTAAATTTAATTGTTGGGAGTATAGTTTGAAACCTCTAGTTAGTGTTCAGCATATTTGTTAGGTAGTAGTTACTGACAAATGTATCATTTAACTAATTTTCTGTTAGTTCAGGTGGTCGGGAGTTAGTTGAAGTAGTTACATTTCTACTGTAATACTTGATCAGCTGTACACAACTAATTCTCATCCTATTGTATTGACTTCATTTTTACACTGAATAAAATTCTTGTTTATATGATTTCTCTCAAACTTTAAAAATATTTTACTATATAATAAAAGAGGAAATTACCAAAAGTCTGTGTATGAAATAGTAAACACCAGAATCTACCACTCAATGCTGAAAGGACAGTCTCAAAAAATTATCAATTGAGATAAAATAATTAACGGCTGACCAAACAGGGGTACTTATTTTGGAAACCAGAAAGAGACATTGTTCTTAATAATAGAAGTGATTGTATTTCAGCTTTGCCAATCAAAAAGGTCATTAATTAACAAGTTTCTTTTTTGTCGTCTTACTTTTTCAGGAACTCTTGCTGAGAAAGCTTTTCTTGCTGTTTTGCCCCCTAAAGAAGATTTTCCATATACCATTCGTGTCAACTCTGAAGTGATGGCTTCAGATGGTTCAACGTCAATGGCAACTGTATGTGGAGGTACACTTTTTTAATTCACGACATCAGAATTTGTAATGCCATTTTATGACCATATTCATGTGTTTAAGCTTCATAAACATTAAGTATTCTTCTTTTTGAATAAAAAAAATCATTGTTAGAAAAAGAGAGTCAAAATGAATGTACCATGTAAGTTGTAGCTTGTTACTAGGTGTGCAAACCATGGTAGTTGAATTGCAAATCGTATCACGTATAAGAGAGCTTATGTTTTGTATCGCAAATCATTTTGTATTGTTAAGATTCATAAACATTTAAAAAGTATAACATAAAAAATATACAAACACGTAAAGATGTAATTAATAGCAACAATTACGTTAAAAAAGAGTGATTATATAATAATAAATCAAGTTAATGTTATAACGGTTGGATTGGGTTAGATTGTATGACCCAACTCCTTTGTTAAGAAAAAAAATACTTGGGTTGATAAATATTTGATCCAAAAAAACAATTTTATGGGTACAGTGACTGTCTCCATAGTCACCATTTTTCTTTTGGGTGCAGTAGTAATTTTAGAGGGAGTTATCATTTACTAGTTACCCTTTAAATGTTTTAAACTAAATATGGGCTAAAGTTTTAGGTTAAAACCAGACTCATTTCTTACCCACTAAAAAACCCTAGCTTATCTGTCTTAATCATCAACACTAGAAGGCCAGGTTGTGCCTTCGGCAGCCACGTTGATGCCCTGAGAGTCGCCGTTGCGCTGCCGTGAGTAGCCACCAAAAGAGGTGCTGCTGTGGTTTGTTAGCTTCTTCTCCCCCATCGATGGGAGGGATTACACCGTAAGAGGTGCCATCGCAAGAGTTGCTGCAGCAAGAGTACCTGCCATGAGAGGTACCACGACGAGTGACATCTCTCTGTGTGGATGTTATGATTCAAGCTGTGATTCGGAGAGATTCATTTGATTTGATATCGATTCAAAAATCGAGTCGTATGATACGAACACAATACAGGAGTAAAAACAAGTCTTCGAGCTATTCTTATTGATTTGTATCGTGAATAGTCCGATACTTGTTACCATGTGCAAACCCACAGAACAATAGAGAAGTATGCAATTTAATATAATTTGATCCGCTGCAAGTAACATGCCAATGTCCATGGGCAGATAAAGAGAAAATTCACAGTGAATCTTTCCATTCTGTAGGTAGTATGGCTTTGATGGAGGCTGGAATTCCTGTACGTGAACATGTTGCTGGGGTTTCTGTGGGTCTTGTTAGTGAGCTTGATCCATCCACTGGCAAAATAGCAGACTATCGCATATTGACTGATATTCTGGTAAATTCCAGAACTTGTTGAGTTATATCATTTCATATATTGTTGAGCTATATCATTTTATATACTGGCTATTTTGGTTGGAAGGTATACTTTCTATTAATTTAACAACTATACTTACCTTCAAGTTCATGTTGTTACTCATGGCCTTTCTGTGATCATTTTGAATAACTTGTGTCAATTTTTTGGAACAATTTCTATATTTTTAATTTATGTTGAAATGTTTTTTAATTTCAAATAAAGATGCTCAAAAAGTGATGAATTTTGTTTGCATATTTGTTAAGAATATATAATTTAATATAGTTACATTGTGACATTCTAGTTTCTTACTTTTGATAATCGAAATATGTGTTTCAATAATATTAAATATTTCAACGTTTACCTTTATGTTTTATGGAATCTTGTGTTTCAGTTATTCTATATTAATTTTGAACAAAAAAAGATTATTGATTTCATGCAAAAGTGTTATTTTTAATTTTTCTAAGGGCTTGGAGGACCATTTGGGTGACATAGACTTCAAAATTGCTGGAACTCGAAAAGGAGTTACTGCTAGTCAGTTGGATATGAAACCAGCTGGAATTCCTCTGGATATCGTTTGTGAATGTTTAGAACCTGCACACAAAGCTCGTCTTCTCATTCTTGAACACATGGAACAAGAAATTAGTATACCTCGCAACAAGAATGACAGTACTTCTCCACGGCTAGGTTGACATTTTTATCTTTTCTAATAGGTTTCCTTGATAAAGTATGATGTACCAAAGTTTGAAATTTATTTCTGATGATGCAGCCACTTTAAAGTACAACAACGATGCTATTCGTCGCCTAATTGGGCCAATGGGCGCTCTAAAGAAAAAAATTGAAGAAGAAACAGGTGAATTTAACTTTTAAGTATCTTTGGTCTCCCCTGCCACTTAGACTGAATTGTGAAGTTGTCTTATACTTCCCGTTTCTGATATGCTTTTTGAGGTATAACTGTAGAAGGATTCATTTTGTTCATAGTTTTTGGGTCTGCGAGCTTTGATCCTTCTTAATCTTGTCACTGATTGCAGTGTTTTTTAAAAATTCTTTTTAAACTATACATTGATATATTGTCCCATGTTTGTCTTTTATGATTTCTACTGAATTCTGCGTGCTGTATTATATATATATATATATATATATATATATATATATATACTTAGAGTGATTGATCAAATTTACTGAACATGTTATCATGCACTCCAATCAGGTGCACGGATGTCTGTAGGCGATGGAGAACTTACAGTAGTTGCTAAGAATCAATCTGTAATGGACAAAGTACTAGAAAAGGTACTTCTTCCATTCTGTTGAACCATTAATTTTTATCCAATCGTGCTTTTTGTTTGGAGTCTTATTCTTTTAGTCACAAGTGAGATAATTGTCTATCCTATATCAGGAGTTGCTGATGCACTGTTAAATTGATAATATCATGAAGTAATGCTTTCCTTAAGAATTATTAATTACATATATTCATATATACTACTCGGTGGGAGTCATGTGTGGCTCTTCATTTTGTTTATATACATGCTAAGTCATGGATATATCAATGACAAATGGTGAAATGTCACCCTCATATATTTCATAATGGTTTTCATTCTGAAGTTCAATCCTCTTGTTTGCCAGGTTGATTTTATTGTGGGCCGTGAAATTGAAGTTGGAGGTATCTACACAGGTATTGTCACCAATATAAAAGAATACGGCGCTTTTGTGGAGTTTAATGGTGGCCACCAAGGCTTACTCCACATTTCTGAGTTGTCATATGAACCTGTATGTATGATTTTAACTATTTTTTTTGGTTGTCGTTAAGGGTCGTGTGTTGGGTCTGCTAATAGCAGGCAAAACAATTTGTATGTAATAATTTGTCTTTAATGACTGCATACATAGGTTTCCCGAGTTTCAGAGGTTGTCTCTGTTGGCCAGAAGCTTTCTTTGATGTGCATAGGCCAAGATGTTTATGGTAACATCAAATTATCCCTTAAAGCAACTTTTCCTCGTCCTGGAATATTGGAGACTAATGATGTAACTGAAGGATCTGTTACGTCCGCAAAAGAAACAGACGGGAATGCGTCTAGAGTACAAGAACAACAAAATTCTGCTTCTAAGTTGTCTTTAGGTGATCTTGAGTCGGGTGAAGCAAAATCCCCAACCTCCCAAGTACCAGTAATTGTAATACGTAGTGCTGCAGAGTGTGATGAAGAGGAGAAATCTTCCAAAGTTCCTCAAGTAGATAATGGAGTCCAATTGGATCGCAAGTCAAAATCACGTCCATCTCAAAATGCAATTCATTCTGCACCGAAATCAAAATCTCGTAAATCTCAAGATGTTATCGATTCTTCAACTTCTCATTCAGGTCCCTTGCCATATACTAGTGCTAAGAAGACAAAACTTTCAATGCAAAAAGAGTCAACATCTGATCTTCAAAAGCAAGAGGGGGGTGAACAAAAACCCAAAAATAGGGCTTCTGTAACTGCAAAAGATCTTGAAGTTGGAACCATAGTAACTGCTAAAGTATATCAAGTTCGTGCGCAGGGGTTTGTGTTGGATTTGGGTGGAGGAGTTCGAGGAGTGTACCGATTTGAGGTAGGAATCCATCTTTGTATTGTCTTTTTGTCTGCACCATGAGCCATTCAATTCACTTGCTAACCTGTTACTGTTCTATCGTGCAGGAAAATAATAGTAGGGACTTTAAAATAGGCGATGAGATGCGAGTGGTGTGCTCAAGCTTTTCTAACAAGGGAATTCCTGTATTGTCTTTAGTTGATGATAAATAACTTCCCTGTTGGTCGTTCATGAGAGTCCATATATTTACCCTGCCATGGCTTGGAATATTCAAATATAAGGTGGTTAATAGTTTTGGTTATATGGCAAAGTGATGGTAATGCTCATCTTGCAAGGACGATGATTTCGGTGCAGCTGTTTAGGTTCAAAATTCTGTAGTGATTAAACTAGTTTACCAAAATTTTTCTTTATCAGTTGCAATTGGTGAGTTAGAAGAGATGAACTTTGTGATCGACGGAAGGCATGGACGTGGTTCAAGGATACTGCATGATTGAAGAAAAACAACTACAATTACTTGACACAACAAATTGTAGATTGATGTTATCAGAGTAAAGGCTAATAAGCACGAACAGTGTTATAATTTTATTGGTGATGAGAAAATTTCCTTATGCTCTTAACCTTTACCATGTATTATCACTAGAGTTTACTGATCAATAGCAGAATTTGCAGATTTTCGTGTTAAAACATTGATACGTCTGTTATCTATCAATAGATGTGGTCATTGGCAGTGAATTTCATTCATTGCAATTTCAGTGTCAGAGTGTTTAGGTGATTTTTTTCTTTGGTGTAAAAGTTAAAGAAATAAATACCAAATTTTAGTTGCAAGAAAATATCCATAAACGTAATGTTATATAATTCTGATTATTCTTGGTTAAATTTAAGAATTAATATTTTTTTTATTCAAATGAATTGTCTTGCTCAACAAGTATACTTGCAGTAAGAGGTATATTTGAAAATTTTATTTTTATATGAAAAATAGAAAACTTGTAGTATGTGTTGTGTGAAGTGGTGATTATTTGAAAGAATCGTTTGACTTAACCAAATTAAAAACTTCACAACTAAAATAAATTCATATAGCTAATGTTACGATTTTGACCAAAAGATTTGTTAGTTGTATTTATTTTCTAATTCTAATATATATTTTTAATAGTGAAAGAGATCCAAGATAGCACGTAACTGAGATTGATTATATATATATATATATAAAAGTTAAGGTTGGTGGGAGGTTGGAATAAGTCCGAAAACTTGTCTTTAAAGAATATGACTTCAGAAAATAAGTATTAAAAATAACTTAATTAAATTCATATTTCAAGAAAAATGACTAATATAATTAAAAGATCCATAGTGAATCAAAACTTTAAAAACAATTCAAGATAATTGTTATTTTAATTGTTTTCTTGTCCACAAAAGATTGTAATTTAAGGAAAAAAATGCTCAACATTTACAACTGATTGATACATCAAATAAATTATTTTTTGATTTTTTAGTACGCACGGATATAAATATGTAACTCAAGTAAAAGACATACCAATTTTATTTGGATAATAATAATAATAAACCTTTGAATTAATCCTAAAATATTTGACCCGAATTAAACAGTAGTAACCAAATCCTGACTCGACAGTCAAAACATATAATTATTATTTCTGTATAATGTGGTCAACTATTAACTATTAAGTCAACAATCACAAATGTCAGAAACAACAGCTTATTTAAATACTGCTTTCAAAGTCAAAAAACTTTTGTGCATTCATAGCTTGTAATTTATTGTTCATGTGACTTTTTTATTTTAACAAGTAAAAGTATAAACTTGTTATCAAAACTAATTCTATAACTAGTTAAGTTCTTTAATTATGTTATGCAATTTAAATTTTAATGTTATGTAAGATTTTGCTTTGTTTCAGGTAATTACCTTATGTTCTATATGTGTTAGGTTTATTCAGAAATGAAATTTATTGAAAAAATATAATATAAATTTAAATTTAATTATATAAGAGATTCAACATTATTTTTCATATAACATTTTAAAATAATAAATGAATCAATATCAATTTTTATATATTATTTTATTTTTTTATTTTTATCTATGAGTATAAGCTTTTCTTCTTCTTTTATTTACACACAAACTTTGACTGTCTCCTAATGTGAAGAAGACATTGATACCTTAAAAAAGAAAGAAACTTCACCAACCATTGATGTGTTTCAAATTGGATTATTATGGACATAAAGTTAATCTTCTAAAGCTTAGGTTTTCTGAGAAAATAAATTATCAAAGATATTCAGCATTAATAAAATCTGAAATAAATTAATATAATAGATCTGAGATGATTTTTAATATAAAACTTTAAAATGGTAAATTTATGTGTTTCTTTTGTAGAGTAACTTCTTTTTTTATCTTTACTAAATATATCTTTAAATTCCTAACAAAACTAAATTAATTAAATACCATTTTATCATAAAAAATTAGACAGTTGTTGAAAAAATTATAATAATTTTCTCATTCTTCTTTATTGTTGAGTTACTAAAATATTAAGTTAATCTAAAATAACAAAACTATTTTTAAATAATTTTATAATCGAAACTATTCATCAACTCTTTAATAGATAAAATATAATTTTTTAATTCTAACCTTTTTTTATTTTATATATTTCAAATGCTTTACAATATACTTGAGATTCATAAGTGATATATTTAAATGAAAAAACAAAAGTAGATAAACTAAAGCTAAACTTAATTTATTTTAGTGAAACCAAAAATTAAATTTGGTTAAAAAAATTTAATAATTTTATTCTTATTTTCATATTATTCAAACTTGTCATGTATGACTTTGTTCTGCTTCAATTCTTATTAAGAAATCTACGTATATTCTACTCAAGTCCACTCACATTCTTCATTGAAACAATTTCTTCTTTTAGGGTCAACTTTTAACCAATAAAATTATATAAATTGTGAGAAATATTTATTGAGTAATTCAAATCCAAAATTAGCCCAAAAGAAAAGGTCTATTTAGCAATTAGTCAAACATCCAATCACATTTTAAGGAGTAAAATGGAAATATGTTATTTTTATTCTTAAAATCTTGTCTATTCAAACATTCTAGAAAGCATGTTAACTTGCTCCATAAGAATATAATTCTCAAAAGTTGTAAAAATTGCATGTTGACATACAAAACAAAATACTAAAAATAAATAGTTGACAAAAAAGATTGACCTCAGTTGCAATAAAGATGATCATAATAAAGTTGATTAATTAGTTAAGTCAGTAGCATTAAATTTTTTTAAAATTGAATTATTTTCCGAAAAACATCATTAAATAATTTATACTAATAATAGAATTTTTGTTTTTTAAACTATATTCTTTAATATGTAGTGAAAAAGACCATTTATAATTTATGAATAAAATTAATTAAAGACACTTCAGATTAATTAATATAAGCACCAATTAAAAAAATTAAAATAAGACAGCCAAAAAACAAAAAAAAATTATGTTTTATATTTAAAAGGAGAAAACACGTTTGTATTAGATAATTATCATGGTTCGTCACCAATGATTTCTGTTTAGTTCCAAAGTGTATTGAAGAGTCAAATCAATATCTTAAAAAAAGTGCAATATTCCCTTTGACAACTCCATAAAAGCTATTACACGATTTTTCTCCCTTTTTCTAGAAGGAAAACTAAATTAAATTTGTCAGTAGTACTTGACTTTAATTTAAATAAATTAGTAAATAAAAATCATAATTTACTATTCATCTATATGCTTTTAAAGTTATTTTTTAATAAGATAATTTTTCTATCAAATTAAAAACATAATTTTGTCATTTCTATATAAAAAAATAATCATACAATATCTCAAATGAAAAATAATCACATAATTATGTAAATTTACAAATGGTCTTATTTTATTTACCACAAACTATAAAATCTCTTTTTCTTGACCCTGTATATATATAGGCAAAATTTAGTTGAAAGGGAGAAAATTTTACAGTCATATTACTAATTAAATATTAAAAAATTGCATAATTTTTTTAAAAAATAAATATTTCGTAATTATTGATTACAATTTGTTAAAAATAGCAAAAATTTTATGGATTTTACTTATTGTTTGAACAATTTTATATAATTCCCAGTAAATTTACCAAAAAATTGTCAGAAAATCTAAAACCTTGGATACTATTAGAAACCATTATTAATAATGAATGTTTGATGTGCTTGGTTTGAACATTCCACAAGTGACTATGCTGTCACAGTGATTATGTTAGAAACTGAAGCAAACGATGACAGTAACACAAGAACAATGAAAATTCAAAGGTGCCAAAAACACGCAAACTTTCTCTCTCTGTCTCTGTCTCTCTCGTTGCCTTTTCTTTCACTCAAAATCAGAAAACACACAACAAGAAGAAGACTCAACAATTTCTTGCAGAACATCAACAAGAAAGCTTTGTAAAAACAATCAATAGCTGCAACTTGAAGATTTTTTAAGTCTGAGTGATCAATCACAACCATATTTGTGACTGTATCAATCAAAGATAAGGACAAAACTACGCAAATGTGACAGCATCAGTAGTATTTGTCTATAATTTTCAGCAATATCAAAGATTAGACACATGTGACTGTATTATTATTAGTCTTGTTTTCTGCAATATAAAGAATCAGTAGGAAATCAAGAACATAACCAAACCGGTTTGAAGGATTTGATAACAAGCATCATGGCTTTCAAATGTCACAGCAACCAGTGCAAGATTGCAGCTTTTGATGTTGTTATCTTGGCAGTGGCCACCCTCTTGTGTTTCTCACATTCAGCAGTGTCTGATCCAAGAATCTCTGAAGTGGGGTTGTACTGTGGCACTCACAGAGCATCACCAAGTGGTAACTATGTCCCTGTTTTCACCAAAGAAATGGGAAGGCTTCAAGAGCTTGTGAGCAAAAACAACTGGGGCACTCATTCTGAGGAACCGTCATCAACCTCTCCGATCTATGGTTTGGCACAGTGCTTCCAAGATCTTTCCAATATTGATTGTCTTCAGTGCTTTGCAGCCAGTCGCACCAAGCTTCCTCGCTGCGTGCCTTCCGTTTCTGGTCACATTTACCTTGATGGTTGCTTCCTTCGCTATGATAACTACAGTTTCTACTCTGAGGACACTGACCCTTTGAGGGATACAGTGAACTGCACCACACAGTATGGTGGTGTGGCTGGTGAGGCTGAGGTGGTGTTTGGCAAGAGTGTTGGGAAAGTGGTTGAGAATGTGGTGAGGGTGGCAGTGAATGAGGGAAGAGGGTTTGCAGTGGGAGAAGGTGAGGGAGTTTATGCTTTGGCACAGTGCTGGAAAACTGTTGGAGAAAAAGGGTGTGGTGATTGCTTGAAGAAAGCTGGAAATGAGGTTAGAGGGTGTTTGCCTAAGAAGGAAGGGAGGGCCTTGAATTCTGGCTGTTATTTGAGATATTCCACTGTTAAGTTCTACAATCAAGGAGGTGAACATGGTGATGGAGATGGTAAGAGTGTTGTATTGTACTAGTTTGAAGTTTTCATATCAAAATCTTCTATCATGCACTTTCAATACTTCCACTGCTTATAGAATACATGATAAGGGAAAGAAGATGGAGTTGAATTTGTTATTCTATCATTGTGACAGAAATGCAGCATTTCAGACACTACCATAACAGTTCCTAGATTTTAATTCATAGATGACAGATTCATGTTAGTCATTTATTTTACACACATGTTGATGCCATTGTCCATGTTCTCATTTTTCAGATTCTTCTAGAAAAAGAACCATCATTACAGCAGTCTCAGTCTTGGCTGCAGTTGTTGTAGTTCTCTCTCTCTTAGTCTCCTATGTGGCCTTCACCAAAAAGAGAAAAAGTAAAGTTCTGTAGAACACTATTGTCTTAAAAATTGCATATATATATATATATATATATATATATATCATTTCTCTATTTAGAATGATTGTCTGTTAATTTTTCTGATGCTGGATTTCATATTCTCCTGATCCAATCAGAAAAGGACTTCATTGAGATTCCCTCTTATTTGAAGAATTCTAGCTTGAATTACAAATATGAAACTCTTGAGAAGGCCACGGATTATTTTAGCACTCCAAGAAAAATAGGCCAAGGAGGAGCTGGTTCTGTGTTCAAAGGGACTCTCCCAAACGGGAAAGATGTTGCTGTTAAGAGATTGATCTTCAATAATAGACAATGGGTGGATGATTTCTTCAATGAAGTGAATTTAATCAGCGGAATAAATCACAAGAACCTTGTCAAGCTATTGGGTTGCAGCATTGAAGGCCCTGAGAGCCTCATTGTGTATGAATACCTACCTAACAAGAGCTTAGACCATTTCATTTTTGGTACCCTTTCTCTCTATTAATCAAAATATTGTGCTATGTTTTCAATTAGTTTCTTACTTGAGTTAAATATCTGGTTAATTTGTTGGGAATCCGTGAATCCAAGTCCTACATTCGATAGAAATGCTAAATTAGAACATTATATAAAAGTGAAAGACCCATTAATCCATTGTCTTAAGGTTTTTAAGGTTTTTGGTAGAGAGTAATGTCAATTCCTTACGTGTGAGTGGGGTGAGATTTCATACAAAGTTCATCCTTTTTTCTCCTCAAATTAAAATCTCTTTTTTAATCCCTTATTTATGAAAGTGTCATATACATGGTGTTTTGTTTTTCATAAGAATTAGTCCGTTTTTTGATTTCATAAGATCAACCTCTTTGATGCAAATAGTGAAGGAAGGGCAAGAGAAAATCAAATTCTTATGTGCAGTTTCAGTAAGGTGATAGACTAATTTGCTTTGCAGAAAAGGACAAAACAAGGATTCTAAAATGGAAGCAGAGGTTTGAAATAATTGTTGGAATTGCAGAAGGGCTTGCATATCTTCATGGAGGCTCTGAAATAAGAATAATCCATAGAGACATCAAAAGTAGCAATGTTCTTCTTGATGAGAATCTCAACCCCAAGATTGCAGATTTTGGTCTTGCAAGGTGTTTTGGTGCTGATAAAACACATCTAAGCACAGGAATTGCTGGAACACTGTGAGTCTTTGAGTTTAACACATCACATCATGCATGAAAGGTTCAAACCTACATTTTCAAATGTGCATATCACTTCATGATATGTAATGTATTGTAATAGGAAAACACTGTTATCGTATAAAGAAACCATTCAAGAAAAAAGCATGAGCTGATAATTGAAACTGTGTAGTTTTTATGCATTTTGTTAACAGGTTTCTTGGTTTTAAGTGACACCAGTTCTTTTTTTCTGTCCATTTCATGGAGCAGAGGTTACATGGCTCCTGAGTATCTTACTCAAGGACAACTTACAGATAAAGCAGATGTTTATAGTTTTGGAGTGCTTGTTCTAGAGACTGCAAGTGGCAGGAAGAACAATGTCTTCCGTGAGGATTCTGGTTCTCTTTTGCAAACAGTAAGATTAGTGCCTAAACTGCGTAAAGATTAATTAAACCCTTGTTGAATGAACTAGTGTTTGTAATCTTAATGCTAATGTATAAAGTTGTTTCTGTTAGAATTTCAAGTGCTAGTCTAAGTTTCACCTTGTATAGAAATGAAAAAGTATATAAAGGTGAAGACCTATTGCCTTAAGGTTTTGAACATAGAATGGTGTCGATTTCTTATGTGGTTGGACTCAAATCTTATTGGTATCATATCTTTTGAGTGAACCTCCTCCTCGATAAACCCAACAGTTTCTATGATTAAAAACAAATATGATTAACTTTCATATGAACTTCTTGAAATAAATGAAAGTAATTAACTGATACATCATAAGTTATTTTTATAAGCTCTCTCAAGGACTTAGAATTTGCTCACATAAACTTCTCAGAAAAGAAAAGAAAACAAATTAACTTATCTGTTTTTTTTCTTCTAAATATTCTTCTGGGAAAGTTAATCAGAACACAGAAAAGTGCTTATGTTCTATGATAAGTGCAAATAGAGTATGAAAGTGTTGTTGTTCCAACTGCATATAAATAGTTCATTGTTTGTGATTACTGATGTAGAATGATTGTTGTTCTGCACCAGATTTGGAAACTTTACCAATCAAACAGATTGGCTGAAGCTGTAGATCCATGCTTGGGAGATGAGTTTCCTGAAAGAGAAGCATCAAGGGTGTTTCAAATTGGATTACTGTGCACACAAGCTTCTGCTTCCCTTAGGCCATCCATGGCTCAAGTTGCTTGCATGTTAAGCAATTCAAATTTGGATGTGCCTATACCAAAACAACCTCCATTTTTGAACTCTAGATTACTCAGTCAAACAGCTCCTTTAGGTTTTAGCATAGATAACTCCTCATCAAACACATTTCAAAAGATTGGCGTGTCTTATAGCCCCTCTCAGTCTTCTAGTTCATGCAGCTTAATTAGACCATCCAAAAGTGAAGAAACAATTTTGGAAGCTTGATTCCCAAAATTCCATTTTTTTTATATTCCCTCAACTAACCTACCAAAAAGAAAAGGATAGTTATATCAAGTTTTATCTTCAATATGGATTCAAATTGCCTCATAGTAACCGAGAAGAGCAAGAAATTTTCCAACAGAGACTTTTCATCATACTAAACAAGTAAATTACAATGACCTGGTTGGACATTGAGTATATAGTTTAACAGAGATTTTTCTTTTATATATGTAATATGTATATTTTTGTATATATTCATTTTTACTCTCTTTTTCTAATAATGATTCTTTTTTAATTAAAAAGAAGAATACTTTATATTCCCATATTCTAAGAAGTGTTTTCTATATGGTATCTTTAGATAAATTTTAATAATTAGTAAAAGTTATTCTGTCAAAGTAAAATAAATTTAATACTAGACTACATAAACAATATAATGGTGCTAAATTCATGACATTTTAAATGGATAATCTCAAAGAAATTGTACTAAATTACATACAATGTTGTCAAATAAAAATATATAATTCAGTAAAAATGTTATATTCGAATATTTATTTCCATTGTATCACTAGTATTATTTGGTTTTGCTTTAAAAGCAAAAGTTTCTATGAAAATATATAAAACAATATAAAATTAAAAAATAAAAATATAATAATTTAATTTATAACATCATAAGGACAAAAAAATCAGCCTAATTTTAATTGATTAAAAAAGCACACTAATTATATACCTCTAAATCATTGCATACCATTTTATACATTGGACAATTCCTATCTTCTTTTTTTAACTTAGGTCTGCTTAAATTTATTTTTATAAAATATAAATATATTAGCATTAAAAACACTTTAATAGAAAAAAAAATTATGTTATTTATTTATTCACTTGTTTTTTTCCCTTTTTTTTTCATTAAGAAGTTATAGTAATAGGAAAAAAAATTAAACGTGTCTTGAGAATTTTATTCCCTAGGTTTTTCTTGTTGCTGTTTCTCCATTCTTCTCATTTTCCTTTTTTTTCTTGAGATAATATGTATTACTTAATTTATATTAACTTAAATGTAATTAAGATTAGTTAATTTTTACGTTAATACTAAAATTAAATTCCCATTGAGTGTGTACAAATTTGAAGAAACAATCATTCTCTTGATTTTTTTTTAAACCTTATATAAGAATGTTTCAACTTTTTTCTATATAATATGTTTTACATAAAGTACTTGAGAAGGGAGAACTAAAATTGAAACAAAATGGTATAAAGATTGGAATTAACGATCCTTAAATGCAGTTACTCTCACATAAAAAATGTATGAAATCTACATTGAAAAACCCTTTAAGCATTGTTAAAAATGTTAGAAGAAAAGTTATTTAGTACACCATAAACTTTGATTTTTATCTATAAATAACACTTGTTATAAAGAATTCACTGGAAGAAATGTATAAGGGTAAAAAGAATCATGAAATGTTTTTAATAGAAAAAATATATATTCATCAATATATAATTCTTTTATAACTTTTTTTTATTCTGCCCAATATATATTGAAAGACAATAGTAAAATTTTAGAAAAACAACACTTTCTTTCTTTTGTAAAATGACAAAATTTCAAACTAAAACTTCAAATTACTTCAAATATTAAAGAGTGACAGGGGAAGCTAGGGGCTGAGTCCGACAAAACTTGACATGTCGATATCTTACAAAGATATGACTTTTGAAACTTACTAGCTGTCCAAGATTTGAGTACAATGCATTAAACCTTAGATTCTATCTTCATTCTCGTCATTTTGCACAAAAAAAAAAAAAACGAACCAAGAACAAGGAATGGAAATTTGCATGTGAAAATCATTAAGCAACAATAAGGGATGAGCTTTTAGCATAGACATTTCGTGTTTAACAAGCTATTTAACTGAGTCTATTTCATCGTTCATCTATTCTTCCTCTCTCCCATTTCTTCTTCAATGGTTTAGTTGAAACTCCAGAAGGGGCAAAACAACTCCCTAAAACGGAAATGATTAACCTAACATCATCACAAAACGAATTGGAAATGGAGCAATATAGGATGCTAATTTTAAATTTGCAGTCTACCTGGTTAAGTTGTTCTCACCAAGATACTTTCAATTCTGTTTCTGACAAAAGAGAATGCTTCCCAAAATTGTAAATGTGGCAAAGTCCACCAGCTACCAAGAATTCCAACTAAAGTGAACTTTTGATCTCTTACTTCAACAGCAGCCAAGCAAAGAAGCTTATAGTCCTGCACTTCAACTTTGCTGGCATATAGTGACTGCGGATGCAAACCAAGAGTAAGATCTTAAGATTTGTTTGATTCTCTGCTTATTTTGTGTTTAAAAGATATTCCTTTCTGAAACGATTCCACACTACTCAGTAGGCAATTTCAAATCCAAAATCTATTAGGTTTTGAAAATTGTTTACAAAATAAGTGTTTAAAAAAAAAAGAAACAACTCAGAGATGGTCTCTCATTCCCTTGTATTTTTTCAAGTGCTTTGCTCAAGTGCTCAGGAGGCAAATTTTTGGAAAATAAATTTGATTCGAGCAATCAAACACTATCAAATGTGTTCAAGGGACAAATAAATCTTATAAATCAGGAAACTGTTTCTAAAGACAAAGCAAGACCAAAATGTCCTGTATTTTGACTTCAATAAACATATGTATTTATAAACACTGCAGATTCAGAGTAAAAATATATGATATCTGTAGTATCGTCAAACATGAATGCTAGTTTGCTGGAACAAACAAAATTTTAGGGACCTCAATTTGCTTTCTGAAGGCCTCAGATATGAAAGAAAAACGAACTGGTTTCTAAATAATATAATTTATGATTGAGTGCCACAGGAACAGTAACAGCAAAAGAAATTCCACTATTCCATCAGTTTATCATAAAATGATAAATATGAGATGGACATGCACCTTTAATTTAAGAAATCGAGCTTCTTGGCGCATACACTTTTGACACAGCTGCAATATACGAAATTATAATTAAAACATTGGTCAAGCAAAATATAATCATATAAACACTATCAATGTTTAAAAAAATATATCGTTATTCAAAATAGAATAGACCTAGGGATAACACTTAAGGCCACAAAAATTCTTACAAAAATGGTTGTCACATAATGAAAACTTGAGTTACCCAATGAATTATGTTCAAGAAACCAAGTAGAAAATCTAAAGGTGGTTGGAAGTTGAAGGAAAAAAACTACAAGATAATTCAAGTGCATTCTTTAGTTACACCAAATTACTAATGCAGCAGTGTCTGACCTGTTCAACAAATACATAGACGGAGAAAGGGTTGGGTTTTGTGCTAAGGAGGAATAAAGTAAGTTTAATGCAAAATATTGTAATTGAGTCATCCAAGTTTGTCAACACCGTGATAAAGAAGAAAATAGGAAGCCAAAATTTTCTAGCTAATCTCCACAAATATTGTCCATTTTCTTCCTCCTCTGCAAGGTCCTGTAATTCATGATCATCCACCAATGCATCCCCAGCTACATGTAGCAAATCAAAATAGTCTTTTGTTAATGAAAGTAAAAAACAGAAGTGAAGACAGTTTCTAAGAAAAGAAACAGAAAAGCAAAAGTACATAATACCAATCAGCTATGCAGCTCACCATCCATGGCGTGAGCTATAACTGGTGCAGATATGATCGAAACACCTAGAAGGGTTCCACTGCAAATGTAACTGCCTGGAATATGCAAGAACAGCATCATGGGACATAACAATTGATCAGAAGGGTGTGTCAACTTTCAAGTCTAAGATATTTCTTTCGGTATCATCACTTAAAATCAAATCAATAGCACTTGCCAGACACAAGAAACTTGTCAAATTAACCTAAAATTAAGGTAATAAAATGTTGGCAGTTAATTAAAATTGAAAAGTGATGAATAGAAGAGAGCAAGAGAATGCGTCGATTTACCAGAAACGCGGAAATTACGTAGGTAATTAGCAGCAACATTAAGAGGGGAAAGAGCAACGAAGGCGCGTGGAGAGAGCGAGAGTGGGAGGTTCTTCGCTTTCAGTAGAGTTCTCAGCGAAGCGAATTTCAATTTACTGTAATCTGAATCAAAGATTAGAAAAGAGAAGAAAAATTATAACAAGAAAAGAGAGAACAATGGTTGAAATCGAAAGAGAAGAAGAAGAAAGATACTGATTGTAGTAGTCAGAGCGATGTGATTCATGCGAGATATTGAACAAGAAGAAGAAGAAATGGGAACGCAGAATCCGAACAGAGTGATCAACTTTGAAAGCTGTGTTTGGCTCTTCATTTTCTTTTTCTTTCTTTCTTTCTATCAGCAGTAGACCATATAGTCATGCACGGAGAACACTATCAGACAAATTTAATACTATTTTTAATTGATATTATTTAATTTTATTAATCATCTAATAAAAAATATTCAATACAGATAAAATCTCAATTAGTTAATTAAAGATGATATTATTATTATAAAATAAAATGATTAGAACTTATTTATATTTAAATCCGTGTTTTTTTTAATTATAATTGAATTCGAAATATTCCTACTTTAAAGTTTAACACTAAAATTTCTCAACACTAAGGTTAACAAAAAATGTATATGCTTATTTCAGGTAAATTTAGTCTTTTTTTTTTTTTAAGTATTACAATGATAAATAAGAGATATTATAAGAGAAAAGATAAATGATTTTAAAAGAATTAAACTAAACATAATGCGTATTTTTGGAACATGTATAGAGAAACTTTTACATTACTGTTAAATACTGATACAACTTGGAGTAAGAAAAATAAAACATGACATCATAATAAATATATAACATAACATTGCAACTTGATCTGCATAATTGATGATTTGCCATTGCAAATTATTCCATCTAACTGTATTAAATATAATCAACTTGACTACATTTGGGAAACATGGCATGGTGGATAAGAACAATTTTGCTTTCAAACGAGAAGAATGTGCTTGAGCAACCACTGAACAATCGACTTAATGGATCATTGGCAGATTTGGAGACTAGATCTTCCCATTTGCTGCATTGGCTCTTGGAACTGCAATGTTTGACCTACTAGAATCCACATATAACCTCACTGAATTCACAACTTCAGAACAATTGCAACTCAATTTACAGATTCCTTGCTTCCCAGGTTCATCTAATTCAGAAACAGTATTCAAAAGAATCTAGTTTCACAAACTAATAGAGCCTGCATTTTCCAGTCCCTGCACAGACTGAACACTCATCTGCATCTCCAGCCACATGCTTTATGCAGTGCTTGATTCTATCATTCACAACATCCTGCAGCACAAGATCGTTAAAGTTCAAAATGACATACACAATACAAGCCTGAGAAAAAGAAGAGAATGCTCATAGAGGACAGAAGCATGGGAAAAGCTCTATTGGCGACAGAAAAACTACATCAACCATTGCTATGGCCACAACATGGTTAGGACACTTTGAGAGAGGATAGTTGAAATCTTAAGCAAATTTTAGCGTGTTTGGAATTTCATCCAATACATACGCTTAAAAAACCACAACAAATTAGATACTTTACACGCAGAATTTACAGAGTCTAGGTTCCAACAGATCGTAAACTTTATAAAGGGTAAATAAAGATGCACCAAAATGTTTAACAATTCAATCAGGGAAACTTATTATACATACGATAGTTGTATCATACCACAAGCAGTTCATGTAATCCGAGGGGTGCAGTTACAATGTACGACACATCTGGGTGTTCCTTTGCTGCCTCAGCGCTCAAGGAAGGAATGTCCTGTGTAATAGTGGCGTTTAAATTTTTTGCCTATTTTCTATCCTCATGAAGTCAAAGGATCATTTTGACAATTTATAGAAAGGTATGAGTTTCATGTAGACCTACCTGACTCCAATGCCTTCCAGGAGAGAGAAAAAAGGGACTAACAATAATTCTATTTGCACCTTGTTGAACGCAAGATTGAAAAGCATCTCTTATTGATGGCTCTGCTAACTCCTGCAAACGTATAATACTTTTATAAAGCATAAAAAATTCGGTCCATAGTTACAATTTTCTCAAGAAATGACATGTCTAAATGCACGGAGAATTTTTGTGTTATTACTCTTGCAATTTCTAACAGTTAGATCTAGATTCCAGATCTGACATGAAGAAAAGTCAAGAAGCTCAACTCTATTACCTCATCAATGAAAATTATGTTTTATTGTGCATGCCATACAGCTCAAGGAAAACCCTAAAAATCCTAAAATAATGCTAGACTAATTGACATGCTAGAGAGTGCTTTCAAGACCAAAGAGGCCTTATTCTAAAATCCAAGCAAGAGATGACAATTAATAAATAGACTGTAAGCTACAGCAGATTCAAGTATCTATCTACAATCATTCATATTTCATGTTTTATCTTAATATACTCTTTCTATGCTTGAAATGATGAAAAACTCAACAGATTGTAGAAAATTACCATGTGAGCAGGCTCCACTATCTCATAACCAGTTTTATACTTAAATATCTCCACAAACTCATCTGACATTCAAAACAACACAACATTTAGACATCAAATTAAAGCATTCCTGGTACATAATCAATTTCAGAAAACATAGATACGTAATAGATGGGTTAGGCTTACTAAGCATCAAATTGGACTCTTTGCGACGCGAACCATGATCCACAATTATCACTGCATCTCCACGACCAACTGCACCAGAGTTTTCACTGAAGCCACCATTTGGAGTGCTCAGACACAAAAATCCACTCAAATTTCGAGGCTTGGAAGAACAGCAGATAGAATTTGATGACCTGATGGGCAGACATCTAGGGTTTGTTCCAGTTTCATTTGAAGAAAAACTGTAGCAGCAAGAACAATGGCAATAAGAGAAAGGGGCAAAAGGAGAAATTTCGGATGTTGTATACAAAGAGAAAGAAAAGGGATACCCCAAAAAATTAAGAATTAAAGCAAAAAGTACCTACAGAAGAAGGCATAAGATTGAACTGAGAGAGACTTCATCAGAATAGTTAATCACAAGAAAGTCAACAACACTCCTGCAACAAAGAGAGACAATAATCAAAATTTATAGCTTCCACCATTCTTTACTTCAGAAAATGAACTAACACATTAATAAATGACAACTATGCCAAACAGACAAGTTTATATCAAAATCACTTCGTTTATAATCTTAAACATACTCTTCCATTAACAGGAAAAAAAACCTAGTTTCACAAAATGTTAAAATTAATTTATGCAAAAGAGGGTTTTTGTTCAGATTAACTTCTCTAATAGATAATTCTTTTACTAAATAAGTTGATTTCAGTTTTACAATCATCATGCTACATACAATTGCGAATTTCATTCATTCAAATCGAATACCTAAACACAGAAAAGAGAGAAAGAGAACGAACCTGACAATGGCAAGGAATGGCTACCAACATTCCCGCGGTTGCGAAAGGGGCGATTCTACCTATGAAATGTTCCAATACAGAATAAACTATATTATATTATAATATTATCCACTCTATTTAAAAAATATATTATTTTATTTGTAAATAGAAATGAAATAAAATAAATAAATAATAACATGTCTACTCTATCTATCTTCTGTAGTAACATGACAAATTTGTATTCTTATCAGATTTTTTGTTGTTGTTGAAAATTAATATTTTAAAAAAAATATTGAACATGGAAACAACTTTAACTTTATTTTCTTAGTTAACAAAAATAATTAAAATAAATAAATTTGATTTGTTTTACTAAATTTTAAACTTAAATTGTAGTTCCTTAGAAAAAATAACTTTTAGTCATAATTATACGAACGTTTGACTATTAGAATTATAAAAGTTTAAGATCAGAGGCTAAACCATTTTTTGAAACCGAGGGTAATTTTATAAAGAAGTATAATAATTAAATAAAATGTATAATTAAAATATTGTATTTATATTTAAAATAAAGTAGTTCACCTCATTAAAAAAAGCGTTTTCTTATGAAAAATAATCATTGCATTATTATTATTATTCTTATTTATAAAGTACGTATATGATGTAATCTTTATCAATAAAAATAAAAGGATAAATATTACATAAAAGTAAAGACCAAATATACAACACGAAATAAGTTTTTTTATAAAAGTTAATTATGCATAATCTAAATTCTTAATTACACAAAATGGGTATACTTTCAAATTGCATGGAGTTTTGAATAAATGTATATTGATAAAAATATTCAAACTTTTAAATTTAGAGATATTTAAGTTGGGTTGTAATTTATAAATTGTTTATACACGTTGTTTATAATTTATACATGTTTAGTTGTGTTAGAGAAACTTGAACTATTAGTCATAATTATATCATCATTTGACTATGAGAATTATCAAAATTTAAGATTGAAGACTAAACCACTATTTGAATCAAAACCAGAGTAATTTAATAAAGAATCATAATAGTTAAATAAATTTTTTGATTAAAATCTTATATTTATATTTAAAATAAAGTATTTTAGAAATGGAATTGTTGCTGGATAACTAAGTCCACCCCTCTATTTGAGATAGTGTTTGTGAGACTAACCAAGCCCATGAATAAGGCCCAACATTATCATATACTTTGAGCCCTTACACTATTTTCTTTACTGAATGTTGATCATGAGCTGTCTTTTTACAGAAAAATAAATAAATAAATTTATAAATGTTTTATTAGAATAGAAGAAATATTGCATTTACTATTTTTCTAAAAACTATTAAATCACCCTTAAAAATAAATATAAAGTAGTTAATAACAATAATTTGTAAGTAATGTGCAATGTTATTACAAAAATATTGTTTTTGAAGCCAGATTAAATGAGTGGGACTCTAATACCATTGATTTGCCAATCATTTCTAACATTTTTTATTTTTTTAATATATCAATTAAAGGATAATATTTTAGAACAAATAGTTAATGTACTAGACAATTACAAAAAGGTATATTATAAAAGAACAATTTTTTAACATTTGTAAAGAAAAGATGGAGAGCATCACTCTAGCTGATTCAGGATGAGTACTCCCTCCAATTATTTTTTTCTCATTTAAGTTCTTTTTATTTCAAATGGTCTGTCTTTTACATTTTTTATAATAATTATACGTTTATTTATAAATTCTTAAATAAATTTTCACACTAATAATAATGGTTGATAGCATTACCTATTTTAGAACGTTCTCTTTTATAGTGTATCTAACATTGCATTTTAACCATGTTCAACTACTAAAAAAATATCACACATTCAATATACAAAAAAAATATTTAACTCAAATAAATATATATATATATATATATATATATATATATATATATATATATATTACAATTGTTACTACCGAGTAGGTTAGATCGACCGGACATGCTTGAGTCACTATTGAGTAGGTTAGACCGATCGTCCAAAGACGATGGAAGTGTTAATTAGACCGACCGGGTACGTAGGGGCGGTGGAAGCCGATCATTCCCGATCGGACGCAAGGATAATACCCGTGAACTATTCAGCTGTTTGCTGAAGACAACCCTTGAATGTCAATGAATGCATAATTAATGATGTAACGATCACTGTCGAGCAGTTAAGGTGGACATTGATCGTCATTAAGAGGTAAATTAATGGGTGATATTCCTTGAAACCCTATAAATAACAATTGATGGAGAAGGTAAGTTCTCTGATTGTCTGATTTTACTAGACTTGCGGAGATAAATTCTGATTTGAGCGTCGGAGTGTTTCCTGCGGGTCACCCCCATTTTGGCAGTGAAAGAGGAGGATCCAGGTGGTAAGACAGGAACAAGGAGGACCGATCGACGGAGGTGGAGCATTCTCGAGCGAAGGTAACAGGAGTTTTTCTCGTCCCCTTTCAGCAGAAACAACAATTATTCTAAATATAATTATAATACCAAAATATATGTGTAGTGATATTTTACAACTGAGAGTGTTATTATACTAAAAATAAAAACAACATAATAACGTCATACTCTATATTGCACCATCATCACCATATATATGATTAACATACATCTTCATCTACTCAAATTATCTAGGTAACAATTGCAAAAGATAAAACAAACAAAGATAGAAAAGTAAACTAATGCTATGTTCGCTTAGGATGAAAACACTATAGAGGTGTATTTGTGCAGACAGATCGAGTGTTAAATTGTGTTTGCTTGAGTAAAATTGAAAAGAATGAGAGGTGATGATCTATGAGATTAGATGAATTTTCATTCCTCACATATGTGCTTGGATTTGAGGGTATCGAAGTTCAAAATTAAATTTTAACCTCTAACAAAATAAGAATGACATGAAAACTTATGCATATGTGGACGATGTAATCGATTCCAAAACAGAGGGAATCCAACTTTGATGCAGGGTTCAGGACAACTTCATTTATGATCATAGAAGGGCCTTCAACTTGAGGGTAAAGAGAAATGACGAACCTAGTACCTTGACGAGTCAAGAAGCATAGAAATGAGGGAAAGAAGACAACCCTTATAACAGTTTAAGATACAACTGAATTATGCATGGAAAATGTAATGGAACATGATTATAGATGTAACCCTCTCACAAAACTTTGGAATTGATTCCATCACTTTGAAATCGATTACGTTTCATGCTATGTCCCTTAATGATGAAACTAGCTATGTCAATTTAGTGATTTGTTTTCGTCGCATTTTTTTTGTTAGAGATTCAACACTTTTTGCCATTTTCTTTAGCATCACTAAGATTAAAAAATAGTTATGGACCAAGACAATTTTACAAAAGATACAACAGCGTAATGATTTAATATAAATCAATTTTACAAAAATAAATTCAATTAATGTCAATTAAAAGAATTGTTATTGATATTAACTAAAACTAGCATTAGTTATCTTAATATATTAATCTAAAGTCTAATAAAATAGTATAATTAAGATGAGTAATCAATTCTTTTATTTTAAATGTAGTGATATTAATAATATTTCTTATTTTGGAAAAGTTTATTAAAAAACAATTTCGATCAACATAAACCAAAAACATTGTGAACTAAATTTTTATATTATTTAAATATAGTTTATTTTAAAATAAATTTTACAAATAATAATAATTCAAATACTTAATTTAAACAACAGAACTATAATTAATTTTAAAAGTTTAATTGTACTATTCATATAAAGTATTTAATAATAAAATAGTTTAAATATAATGTAATTTTTTTAATTATAAACTATTCAAATCCATGAAAAAAACAATACACAATTTTATTATTTATATAAAGTTTAATTTTATTATTCATACAAACTATCAACTATCTCTATATAAAGGTTCGTATGAAAAAAAAAACTTAAAAATATTCAACTCTCCTTTTAAAATTGATTCATGTAAATATTTTCATAAGGTGATAAATAAAAGGGGCCAAAAAACTAGTATTAAATTTGTCACGAGTAAAATAAGCAAGAAATCATATCCATGAGTATTATAGAGAAAAATACAAAAATCAATCTAGTTTTTCTTGTTTTTTCTCATGTCTCCGTTAAGTTTTCCATTGTACAATGACTTACTCCTCTCATACGTGGGTCAACCAAAATAAACTTCAAAAATCAACATTTTTCCTTCCAATTTAAATAATATAACATAATAATTTTTAGTCTTTAAATTTTAATTTAAATTAAAATTTGTTCATATTCAAAGTTTTAATACTATTTAATATAAATTTTAAAAATAAATAAATATAATTTTTTTGACTTAATTGTACTAAATTTTTTATATATAAAATAATATTTTATTTTAATATTTGAATTATTTATATTATTTTTGAAATATTTAAACTTAAAAATTTAATATATAAAAAAATTAGCATCGTTAAAGTTAAAAAAAAATATTTTCGTTTGTTTTTAAAGTACGAAAACTAAAATGTATAAAAAAATTGAGATAAAAACAAATTTATCAATTTGAAAAAGTTTAAAGCTTTAAAATATTAACTAATATAATATAGTAAAAAGTGCAAATAAAAGGTATTTTTATATTATTTTCTCAACATGTATAAGAGAAACATGAAGGAGGAAGTAATTAATTTGGAAATAAACAAATAAACAAACTTAATATTTTGAAATTATGAATCAAATTAAAAATAAAAAAACAAAATTATTATGATTATAGAAGAATGAAACCTACCTATTATATAACATGGAAGTGAGGGAGAAAGCATAAGACAATGATGAGGTGAGTGTAGGTAGGTCCTGATCCTCTACTCCAGTGTCATTATATACTATCATTGCTCTCTGTTTCTCCCTCTGTCACACCTTTTTCTATTATTAATTAATTAATCCTTTCTCAATCAAATTCAATATTCACAACTTTCATATTTCCCCACACCACAGATACTTTTTCTGCCAAATTTACCATTTTCAGACCCCTTTCATCAATTTTTCAAAACTTTATCATTAGTTCTACAAAATATCAAAATTATTATGCAAATTAAAAAATAAATAAATCACA